TATTATTGACTATTAGAAATTAAAAATAATACGTTAAGTGTCTATCATGATATACAACGTATGTAGGAATATATTTATATAAAGAAACATTCATGTAACTTAAAATATAAGCTGGTAAATATATAAAATTTTTCGTTTGCGTTAATTTATGTATTTATGAATAAGAAAACCGAGTAATTTTAATCGTACATACAATTTATCCTCGATATTCTATATATTTTTTTATTTAATTAATAAAAACAAGCAGGAAATAATATAATTTATATATTATTTTATACATATATATGCTAACAATCATTACATCAGCTTCATTACCTTTTCGATTAGCATTAGAAATCATAAAATCAACCACTAACCACCTTAACAATCAAACTTTTATTTGCGATTATCGTAGTTTGCTTTTTATCATATTTTATATGTTTTAAGTATGTATGTACATATGTACATATTTTAAACCTTGTGTAGCTACATAGAATTAATAGATTTTATTTTTAAATATTTCCAATATTGTGTGAGCGAAAAGGTACGTGCGTTTATTGAACTCATATTAAACAATTAAAATATCCGTCTTTAAAAAAGGTAATGAAACATATATGTATGAACATGCCTTGCATATACATATGTATTTAATTTATAAGAGTAATACAGCTTAGCTATTAAACAAATAAAGTTGAGTGTTAAAATAAACTAACTTTTGGTATATATTAAAATATCATGTTTTTAACAATCATATATTTAAATATGTATGTATGTGTTAACGAAATGTTCATATAATAATTAATCTGCAAAACAGGTTTATAGCTTAAAACAGGTTTGCAAAAGAAAGAAATAATTGAAATATATTTAGACTCTAGTTCTTTATGCCCTTGAACAAGTAAACAAATATTGTTTAGGTCTATTCTGATAGTAAGAATTGGGAATGGAAAAGTGAATTACTAAAAATTGTATCCACTTCTAATGACAGCCGGTTTCCCAAGACAGTCGAGTCTACGTAACCGGAGTGACCCAGATCTATACCTGACCAAGCAATTATAAAGAAGCTTGATAGGCAATGCCGAAATTTTATTTTTTGACACATGTTTATGATGAGCTAATGGCATGTAAAGCAGAGTCCGACCGATTAATCGGCATCGGCCGTTTTTGGCCGATTCTTTTTACTTTTCCCGCACTTCATTCCCTATTATTTTGTTTTTACGTTTTTAATTCCTTTTAAGTTTAAAATATTAATGCATCTGAGATCCCTTCAAAAAAAAATGCCAAAAATCAATGATAAGCCCTGGCAACTTAAAATTTGCACTTCGTTAAAATAAAATTGAATGGGCTACAAATCTGCATACTCAGAATATTTAAAGAGAAAGTTTAGAACATGGTTTTTGTTAGATAACGTGCTACACTTTCGTAAAAAATAATAAACATTAAATAAAGAGAAATAGTCAAAGAATGCTAAAATATCATGACTGTATATATTGTGACGATCATCCTTGAATTGATTGCTGAATTCCTCAATCCTTCGGGTTCTTCTCACTGTATTGTTAAATTGTTTACGTTACAAAAATACTTTCGTCATTATTTTAAAATCTACGGTTACTGTTTATTAACAAATTGTATTCAATACAACACATTTATAATCAGCAGAAGCTGCATATTTTTACTGCTATGAGTACAACCAGGAAATGTGGTTTCGAATAAACTATTTATTTTACATTGAATAAGAAAAAGACTATGGATCAAAGTATTGCAATGATGCGTATGCATAAGCGATATACTACTTTTAATACATATTTATGTATGTAAATAAATTAGTGAATAGATTCTTGAATGGTTATTTGTTTTGTAATGTTATTTAGTTATTTAGTTATTTGTTTATTTTTTCTTTTGTTATTATAAAAGTTTATCAATATCATTTGTTCTTGAATGAATTTATATTCAGGTAGTTTTTTTTAAGAAATCGGCATCGGCAAATTCTTTGCCCTCCGGCACCTTTGGGAATCGGTCGGACTCTAATGTAAAGGCAAAATATGTATATCACAATGGCAGGTTCGTTTGCATAAAAAAATCGTTAAAGGTGCTAGGGACTTAATTTTTTGGTAACGAAATTGCAGAATAGACCTATAAAAGCAAAATAAGAAAAGATTCTATTGACAATATTCAAAGTCGGCCAAACGCTATGTACTCAAATATAAAATTAATTTTCAAAAGGAACATACTCAAACAGTATAGATATATCCAAATTTAATTTACACATATTTATACGCGTTTAAAAATTGTATACTTTTAGTGAGACAACTATAAACCAAGAAATAAATTGTGTATAATTATTTAAGGTTTCATAGACTTAGACGAATAGTGGAAAACATGTTGTTTTTTAACTTTTTGCAATGTTTAATTCATTATGCGTTTTATTTCTCAGTGTGCAAAAATTTAAAATAAATACATATGTATACTCGAATTTTGAACAACAAGTAAACTAAATAACAATTGTAGAAACCCCAATTAAATCATGCAATATGACGTTATTTTTTTAATTACTACGTATGAATTACTACAGTTCCCAAAACGCTTTCTTTTTCCTATAAATTTTTTTTGGCTACGTTTCTGTCTCCTTCGCCTCAACTTCATTCGTCCTATATTATATATTGTATAAGGTAAATACCTTTAACATTATTTTGCTTACGTTTCCGATTCTATAGCATTTTTTCTATTTATTTTATCACTGTTTTCTTTGTTTGAAACTTCTAGCTAGTCAAATAATTTGTAGCAAAGATGAGTTATTTAATATTCATTGTATTAATATATTTCATAATATAAATCTGAAGTGTTCTTGGAAAACTTAATTTGGTTAGTCATTAACTATCTTCATTTTAATTTAATAAAAAAATCGTGTACCACTCATATTTGACTTGCTTAATCGTTTACTTTAAATTTTGATGCTCTATAATTTTTAATATGTATTTCAAATTCATCATCAAGTTTCCGTTGAAAATTTTTTTATATGCGTTTAAAAATTGAGAAAATATTTCAATATTCTGTTATGGTTAAATATTTAACATTTTATAGTAAAAAAATTAACATTTTACACATGTATGTATGTATCTTCTATACATACATACATATATACACTAAATATGTATATATTAATTCCCTTACGTACGTTTACAAAATAATTAATGTCGCTTTGCCCATTAAAAACTTTTAAATGTTTCATCTTTCTACTTATATAGCCAAATTATACTTTAGAAAACTGTTTTTAAATATCTTTTTATCGTGTGCACATTGGACTTCACTCTGAAGTGGTCTTGAGGCTCCACTCACAGCTTATTTACTACCGATTCTGAAACTATTTCACTTTAACTTCGCATTCTTCTATCTTGTCATCCCAGCTATTAAACGGTTCTTTCTTAGGTTCCGTTACAATCCAACCGATATTAACTTATTTTCACTCGCCTGTAATTATATTTATTTATATTTATGTTTGCATGTAACGAATTCTTCAGCTTTTTAATAAGTTTAATTGTAATTGTTCTTAGTAATATTTTTACCATTATTTTTTAATTTCTTTACAGAAATGCTTTAAACATCATGTATCTTATGTATATCTAAAAGAGTTGTATCTCTGTTTTTGTTTAACGTTTAGATCGCTTATTGTTGTTGTCAAAAACTAATTTTGCATGAATTATTTTATAGATGTCAGTTATGATTTTAATTTATAATAATATGTCTACGTAAATAAATGCTAAGGTTGTATTGCACCTCCGTACGTTTGTTATTCCTTGTTTATTTTTTTGTATGTTTCTAATTTGCTTCGATCATAAATAAAAAGAAGTTATACCAAAATATAATTTTGAGGCTTTTAACGTAATAAACTTTCTAGACAGTCAATCTGGTACTTGGGGTCGAAATGCCGTTTATATAAAGGTGCCCACACTCACCGACGTGTACGTATGCTGTGGCTGTTCGACGTAGCAACATATAATAGTGACACGATCAAACTTATGAGAGCGCCATGTAAATGAAAACTCACCACCCTGTACGTGCGACGTTTACGCTTGCTTCTCTCTCTCTATCAACAGTAAATTTTATATGATGCTACGTCAAACAGACACGGCATACGTACACGTCGGTGAGTATGGGCACCTTAACTGACGGGTTGTTTCTCATATTATCATATTGTTCATCATATCAAGATGTAAGAGAAAGAAATTATCTATTGCTGTAGGAAGTATTACGCTGCGACTAATCAGTTTCCCGTAATTCTTGTTGTATTAAATAACACTGGTCTACAAATTTCAACTTTTTTTCTGCGAATAAGACGGGACCTGGTGTTTCTGAACGGATTTTTCGTGCTGAACACGAATCCGGGGTCAAAAATGTCCCATCAAAAAAGGGGTTGAAACCCCTAAAAACAGCGTTTTTGGCCATTTTCGAAAAATTATAGAGCTGAACCCTGACGTGGTACAAATTTTGCATATATCAGAAATTAAAGGCTAAACCGTGCCCTTTCGAATGAGCCCTATGCCGAATTGATCGCGTGCACCCTTAAAGCAGGGGGTGTATTTGTGTTTAGGGGTGCAGGAAAAATTGATCACAGAAAGAATTTAATCTTAAACGATCATAGAAAATTAATAATGCCAAGGTTTTAACTATATTAAAAGTCGCTGATTACGAATCTGCAGTTAGATTTTAAAAATGCATCATTCATTTTATATGGTCGTTTAAGATGAAATTCTTTCTGCGATCAATTTTCCCTGGACTCCTAGACACAAATACACCCCCTGATCTAAGGGTGCATGCGATTAATTCGGCATAGGGCTCATTCGAAAGGGCACGATTTAGCCTTTAATTTCTGACATATACAAAGTTTGTAGCACGTCAGGGTTCAGCTCTACAATTTTTCAAAAATGGCCAAAAACGCTGTTTTTAGGGGTTTCAACCCCTTTTTTCTCGAAAACGTGACGTGATGGGAAGTTTTGGACCCCAGATTCGTGTTCAGCACGAAAAATCCGTTCGGAAACACCAGGTCCCGTCTTATTCGCAAAACCCTTGTAGACCAGTGTAATTAATTTTTGAAGTAAAACTGCTTTCGCTGCATGAAAGTAATTTTTCAAGGTCCCGGCACATCACTTTTGTGTCAAGAAAGAGATAAAATATTCCAAAAGAATTAGATAAAAATCAAAGAGAATCAAGAATAACACAGAGCAGAAGCGAAAAATGAGTACATACATACACACATGCACATGCCCATAAATATGTATATAATCACCATAGGTATTAATTAATTAAAAATATTTCATATCAACTTGAGATAAGGACATTTCGTTATATTATTCAGCATAACTTTCTGATCAAAACGGCATATCATTCATCCGTCAGGGAATTATTTCAGCGCAGACCTAAACATTGTGCCAGATTGACCGGGCCATTTTTTCGTTTAATATTACGTTACCAGTTTAATTTCTGCCCATTTTGCAGTTTATTTTTAATTTTTTGCTGTTGTTTTGATGTTTGCGGTCGCTATTTAACTGTGTAGAATTCCACACTTTTTATGGTCACCTCGCAACGCTGCTGCTGAAGAAATCTTCTGTAAAAAGTAATAATAATGCAATATTAAAAATATGGCGAGTTTTTTACTTAATATAACATGGAACTTAATCACAGTTAGGCGTGTATCTGCACATTAGGGTGATCCTTAAATGTAGGAAGCAAGTTTTTACATCAGATTTCTCAACCCATACGTCAATACTACTATAGTCGAAAAATATCACATATAAATTTTGGTCCCGATTGGAGACGGTTAAGTCGCGTCGCACAGGGGCAAAGTTCAGATTACCCTATGAAGACGTCTTAAAAGAAAAAAAAAAAATTTTTAATTTTTTCAGTCTCCATAGAGCATATGGCCTTGGACTCCATTGCGACACGCCTTACCCGACTCCAATCGGGACCAAAATTTATATGTGATATCTTCGACTGCGGTAGTATCGATTTTGGGTATGAGTTGGCAAAAAAATTAATTTAAATTTTTCGAGTCTCTATAGAGGAATCTGAACTTTGGCCCCTGTGCGACACGCCTTAACCGTCTTTCAATAGGGGCAAAAATTTGTCTAATTAAATTTCGAAATATTAAATATTTCAAGCATTTCTGAAATTTACCGTTATATGAAAAGCGCCGTAATTTTAGTCCGATTTCGATAATTTTCTACGTTTTGCTTTTATATGGCAAGCACAATAACCGTAGAACGGTTACCGAGATACATATATGTGATCATAAGTGGGCGGTGCCACGCCTATTTTCCAAAATTTTATCATAAACGTATTGTTTGGTAAAGAATTGTTGCAAGCGACAATTTTGAATAAATTAGCTTTGATATTTACTGATTTATCGAAGATTTCGTATTTCTCTAAATTACCCTTATATGGAATGTGGGCGTGGTTATTGTCCGATTTTAAAAATTTTCAGCCATTTGGTATGCTGTACCAAGGCAAACAACTGTGCCAAGTTTGGAAGAAATCGTTGCAGCGGTTGCCAAGATATACAAATGTAACCATAAGTGGGCGTGGCTACGCCCATTTTCAAAAATTTGTATTCTTATTTTTCGTCTATAACTATTATAAATATCAATTTTGAGTGAATAATCTTAAGTAGTTACTAAAATATCGCAGTTTTCGTATTTCTGAAAATTATCGTTATATGGGAGGTAGACGTGGCTGTTGTCCGATTTTGCCCATTTTCAATACCATCCGTCCTACGCCCGAAAGAAGTACACGTACCAAGTTTCGTTAGGATATCTTAATTTTTACTCGTCCGTCGACGGACGGACAGACAAGTCACCGCTTAATCGATTTCTCTTTTCATCCCGATCATTTATGTATACATTTGTCTATATCTATCTCGATTCGTTTTGCCTGTTACAAACAACCGTTATGTGAACAAAGTTATAATACCCTTGTGGACAAGTGCGCTCGGGTATAAAAATACCAGTTGGACTTACGTAACATATTTATGCTTCATATTACTATATGTAGGTCCACCAAAAAGGCTTTTTCAGAAAAGGGCATTCATATTTTTAGAACGTATGTTTATAAATCGGTGAGTTTGGAAAAGCCCTGCGTATTTTCAGAATGGCTCTTGTTTTGTCGCTTTTCCAAAATTCAGTTGAATGAATATTTACATTAGAAGTATGTATACCCTAATTCACAAACGCCCTAACCAACGGTTTTTGGAAACAGCGTTTTTAACAGATTTTGTTAGGGTATATCAAAATACACCTTCAATGAAAATTGTTAAGTCGTAGTATCAAAAACAATGGAGTTACATGCCACTTCTTAAAAAATCCTATCTGTTTTTGACATTCGCCCTACGGACGAATGAACACACAGGGACTGCAACAAGGCGAATCTATACAAGGTGGTGTTACCGGAGCCGCTGATTTCACGGCGAATTTGTACCATTTGATAAGTCTTATCATGAATATTCGGTGAACATTTTTACCGGCGAAAATTTTCGTTCAACGAAATTGTTCACTTTATCATGAATGTGGAACGATTTCGGGTGAACGGCATTTCACAAAGAAATTTCAAAGTTGGGATAACAGCTGTCAAAGCAAATAAATTTAATATCAGTTTTGAGCATAGTACATTTCGTTCATTTGTGAAAACCCAGCAATTGTTCCAAAAATTTTACCAGAGAGTTAGGTGACTTACGGAAGGTTTCAAGACCAGGGCGTACTGCTGTAAGAACAACAATGGCGACCTAGATACCGATATTCAGAACGTACTTAAATTATGGAGGGTACATTTCCCCACCCTACTGAATGGTAGCGGCACGGAAAATCGTGGAGAAGAGCCCGAGTCCCCAGTCGATGGTGACGGAGTCGATGTTCCTCCGCCTGACTATGACGAGGAACGAATAGCAATAACGCGGCTAAAAAACAACAAAGCTGCTGGAGCGGATAGCCTGCCAGCTAAGCTATTCAAGTACGGTGGCTGGGAGTTGATAACAGGGTGCATGCATTAACTCGTATGCAGAATATAGTCAGATCAACGCATGCCCGACGACTGGAATTTAAGTGTGCTCTGCCCAATCCACAAGAAAAGCGACCCCGCCATTAGCGCAAAATACCGCGGGATCTGCGTTCTAAGCATAGGTTACAAGGTCATCCCATCGTCAATGAACTGATTGGACCTTATTAGTGTGGCTTTAGACCTGGCAAATCCACCATAGACCAGGTATTCACAATACAATCTTGGAAAAGACCCGCGAGAGAAGGATCGACACTCACCACCTATTTTTCGACTTTAAAGCCGCTTTCGACAGCACTAAAAGGAGTTGCCTATCCGCCGCTATGTCTGAATTTGGCATCCCCGCCAAACTGATACGGCTGTGTAAAATGACGTCGAGCAAATCAACCATGTACGTCAGAATTGGGAAAGACCTCCGAGCCGTTCGCCACCAAATGGGGTTTTAGACAGGGCGACTCCCTTTCATGTACCTTCTTTAATCTAATGTTGGAGAAGATAATAAGAGCTGAAGAACTGCTCCTCTCAGGAACAATTTAATACAAGAGCCTGCAATTGCTGGCTTATGCCGCTGACATCGACATCATCGGTAACAAAAACCGCCACGTCTGTTCTGCTTTTTCCAAGTAGGACAAGAAGCAAAGCGAATGGGTCTGGTGGTAAACGAGGACAAGACCACGTATCTCCTGTCATCAAACAAGCAGTCATCGCATTGGCACCCACGTCACTGTTGACAGTTATAATTTCGATAAAGTAGAGAATTTCGTTTACTTGGGAACCAGCATTAACACCGATAATAATGTCAGCATGGAAATCCAACGCAGAATCACTCTTGCCAACAAGTGCTGCTTTGGACTGAGTAGGCAATTCAGGACTAAAGTCCTCTCTCGACGTACGAAAACCACACTCTATAAGTCACTCATCATGCCCGTGCTGGTATATGGCGCAGAAGCATGGACAATGACAACATCCGATGAGGCGGCTCTTGGAGTATTCGAAAGAAATATTTTGCGGAAGATTTACGGGCCTTTACGCGTTGGCTGCGGCGAGTACCGCAGATGATGGAACGATGAGCGGTATGAGGATTACAGCGATATGGACATAGTGCAGCGAATTAAAATACAGCGGCTCCACTGGATGGCCCATGTCGTTCGAATGGGCACCGACGCCCAGCTCTGAAAGTATTCAACTGGGAAGCCGCTGGTGCTAGCAGAGGAAGAGGGAGGCCCCAATGCGATGGAAAGACCGCCATGACTTTTTTCTTGAAGTTTGCCAACATTTTTTAATCATATAAAATTGAGAGTAAAAAAAAGGAATTGTTCAAAGTTGCTGTTGTTCGGGCGGAGCCGAACATTAGATACCTGGCGCAAGTATCAAATATATCTAGTTTTTTCACATTTTCGAAGACTGCCGCTAGGGATTTATCCCTATTTCAAACATTTTCGATAAACTTATGTGGGCGGTATCATGATAAAAATATAGTAAGGTAGAACCGCTGAGAGTCACTTTTAATATTCTTGACGTTTCCAAACAATTTAATTTTTGAATTTACTCACAAACTCACACACACATTTTCATTTTCATTCTCAAGCAATAACAATTTCGAACAATTTCATTTTTTTATTTTCACTTTTATATGATTTTAAAATGTTGGCAAACTTCAAAAAAAATCATGGCCGACAAATTGAGAGAACGGTTCTACCTTGCTATATTTTTATCATGGGCGGTATCACGTCCCTTTTCCAAAATTCCATAATAATGTAACTTGTTTTCAATCGTGGCTAGTATCAATTTTGTGTAAGTAAATTAGCGTCCTTAAATTTCAAAATATAGAAGTTTCAAGCATTTTTGAAATTTAGCGTTAAATAAAAAGTGGGCGTAATTTTAGTCCGATTTCATGTGGCAAGCACAATAATCATACCGAGTTTGGTACATATTGGTCGAACGGTTACCGAGATACATCATAAGACCATAAGTAGGCGGTGCCACGCCCATTTTCCAAAATTTTATTATAGACGTATTTTGTGCTAAAGAGTTATTGCAAACCTCAATTTTGAATTAATTAGTTTCGGTATTTAGTGATTTATCGAAAATTTCGTATTTCTCTAAATTACCGTTATATGGGACGTGGGCGTGGTTATTGTACGTTTTTAAAAATTTTTAGCTATTTGGTATGTTGTACCAATACCAACAACAGTGCCAAGTTTGGGAGAAATTGGTGGAGCGGTACCCAAGATATACACGTGTAATCATAAGTGGGCGTAACTACGCCCATTTTCCAAAAAAAAATATAATATTCTTATGCCTATCGCCTAAAAATGATTGTGAATATCAATTTTGAGTGAATAAGTTTCAGTAGTTACTAAAATATCAGTTTTCGTATTTCTGAAAACTACCCTTATATGGGAGGTAGGCGTGGTTATTGTACGATTTTGCCCATTTTCAATACCATCCGTCCTACGCCGAAAATAAGTAAACATACCAAGTTTCGTTTAGATATCTCATTTTTACTCGAGTTATCGTGTGCACAGACGGACGGACAGACAGACAGTCACCGCTTAATCGATTTATTTTTTTATTCTGATCATTTATGTATACATTTGTCTATATCTATCTCGATTAATTTTGCCTGTTACAAACAACCGTTATGTGAACAAAGTTATAATACCCTTGAGCACAAGTATAAAAATATAAATTTTGCGCTATTTAAGAAATTTTTGCTGAATGCCTTTGCAAATATAGTACGTTAAATAAAACCCAAAGAACAGCCGAAAATAAGAGGCCGAATGTAGTAATTTATGAGGCCGATAAGAGTCTCAAAAAGAGTCCGGAATGGTTCATATGTGAGGCAAAAAACTGTTTTAAAAGAGTCCAAAATGAGCCGTATATGAGGCCAATAAGAGTCCAATATGACTCAAATTGAGGCTCATTTGATGTATGAAATTAAGCTCATATAAGTCGACCTTCGGAGGCACGGAAACACCCTCATATCGGACTCTTAAATGAACTCATTAAGAGCGTAAAGGCTCCGAAATAGAACTCCTTAAAAAAGACCATTTATGACTCCAAATGTGTGCTGGGTTGAGACTGAAAGGCGACATTCTAAAAGGTGGTGTTGTTATTGATTCAGCCGATTTCCAGGCAAAATTGTACCGTTTGTCAAAATGGTGTGTTTGTTGTAATTTTGTTTTGTACTGATTGCCAATGTGCGTATAATTTGTTTGTGTAGTTTTTGTTTTTCGGCTGGCGCTACCACCTTGATTAAATTCGCTTAGGTATGTGTGAGATTGAAAATTGGAAAACACTTTTGCTATGTTAGCAATCTTCAAAAATGTCCAGGCTGCCTTTTGTATCATGTTGCCATATCCAAAATGTATTCAACAAAGTGCGATTGGCTTTCACAAGAACCATCCTATAAAGTCAAATTGAAAAATCTTTTTATGAATTTTGAATTGCATGTTTATATTTTTTGGCATACTAGTACCTTAAAAGAAGCCCACCTGAGTTGTCAATCACACCATGTTTGATACACCTTGGCCATACCATGATTCAATAATTAAAGGTTAGATAATTATTCACAGCCGCGGTTTGACACTCCCTTATAAAAGGTTGCATTTACGAAGGACAGAGAAATGCGAAGAATAAAATCCCTTGGTGCGAAAATGGTAGTAGTGGTAGGAAATGGTAGTAGTAGTACGCAAAGCAGGCACTTAGTAGTGAAATTCCTTTTGGCCCTTATTGCGAGTGTCGACTGGCAGTAGAATACAAATTTGTCGATCAAGTCGATTATCTTTTACTTTGCTATTGTGAAACTTGATCGATATAAATTTCTACTAATGTGAATGATTGACTGAATTGTAAGCAGCCGTTCGTTTGTTTGCATTTGTTTCTTTAGTGTTTAATTTACATCATTTTTAAAATAATTGCTTTTATCATAAAATTAAAAAAATGGATAGAGTTGAAGTATGGTTTAAAGAATTAAACTTTATTTTCAAATAAAGATTTAAAATTTCCGAGCACTAGTTAATTAATAAATTATGCAGGTTTTTGGAAACTTTGATGTTAGTTCTGCGCTAAACCACTGTGGATGGCGTAGCCAGAGTTATATGCACAAGAAATGTTGTATATCTCTCACAATAAAAGCGGAGCTTCCGCCCCTACTCTTTCCGCAAATTCCCTTGCCTATGTCCTCATTCTCCAACATCAGCTCGACCAACCGCGCAAGTTGCCTTTTGTTGCTTAAAATTTTTGATCTGTAATTCAGACACATACCCCCCTATTATGAATTTTCATACGATAAACGCTTCCAAGCGTATCATACACCGGTCAGATGTATTGTTGTGAATGACTGTGGTTTTTGTTCACTTTTCATAGTGAACCAACACAAATCATCTACGCTAACTATCGGATTTCATACGAATACATAGATTCGTAATAGAGAATAACAGAATGCAAGCGTTTATCGTGCATCGTACGAGTTCATAATAGGGAGATACATACATATGTATATTCCACAATTTTTCACAGCTTCCAATTTAATTGACTTACTTTTTATCCATTATAGTACTACTTTCTTGTGTAAAGATTATAAACGCAAACTCCAACGACTAAAAACCAGCAATAGAAGGATGAGCGATTAAAAAGTATTCACAGTCGCTAATTGAGCGACTAAGCGACACTCACAATAGCATCGATAATCGATAATCACTTAATAGTCGTTTATCTACTGCCAGTCGACGTTCGCAATAGGGGTGTTTTTTTTATAAATAGTAATATATTTGCAGAAAAAATTTGGTAATTTAAATGAAATATTGAAAGAAATATTAAGACGTGAATTACGTAATTTATGTGCTATTTAGCGGTATAAAAACTGGATAAGGGTTAAAAATTAAAATAAATCTACTGCAAATTTTCTATTCGCGTACTGTTCTGGATGTAAATAACGGAACATTTTTGTTAGGTATGTTTTCATTAGGTATGTTTGATTGGTGTGATGGTAGTTACGCCGTAATGGCCCAGAGTGCAATAATTTGGCAAATGGAAGATGAAATAGGAAGTTACAGATTGACTTTACCAAATTTTGCCTACACATTCAGGTAACATCAAGGTGAATACTAAAGGACTGCAAATGTTGAACTATAAAACATAGTGACATGTGTCACATCGTGCAAGTGCCACTTCCATAAAAATTAAATTGTTTGGAAACGTCAAGAATTTTAAAAGTGACTCTCAGCGGTTCTACCTTACTATATTTTTATCATGGCCACTTCATAGAATGTAGCTCATACATGTTTGACAATGACATATGAAGACACTGTCGAATAAATTGAAATCAAACATGCATAAAGTCTTTGCATGTCAACACAAGCGACAAGTCCGACACATACGATATAGTCAGCATTATTATTTGCATTGTATATACGGGAAGAGATTTTGCAAATTTCGAAACTCCTATAACAGTAAAATTCATCAAGCAATTGTCTAACTAAAAATCTATATCATCGATGTTTTTACAAAACCGCCCATCAAACAAATGCAAAAACGCCTAAAGCGCCGTTGTGGCAAAAAACAGACTTGTCAACCCCGAACTCTAGGCATCGAGGTTTATGCATAAAAATCGTAAGATCGTTATTAAAACAACAGATTTGTAAAATAATAGCTAGAGAAAATACCGCCTATCAAGGCAAACCGTTTTTTCGCTCTTCTGTAAAATTTGAGTGCCGTAAGATAGGCGGTTTTGCAATTGGTCGATGGGCGGTTTTGCAAAAACATTGATGATATACATATATTTTCAGACAAGACAGGATCACACAGTATTAAAAATATGCTGCAGAAACACAACAGCTTAGCAAGGACATGCTAAAACAGTATGTTTGAGATGGAATGACATGGTATAACACCTTGTTTGAGTTGACCATAGCATGAACATTTTTACAGAAAATGTTGAGTTTTGCAGTACATATGTTAGTACATACATACATACTTTGTATGGCAGATGAAAACACGAAAGCTTTAATAGACGAATATATGCCAATGAGATTTAAATTATTAAAATATTACATTCGTTCTTCTTTTAGGTATGTACTTACGTGTATCGAAGCTGAAATTCATTGTTGGGTCTGGTGGCGTATTGAGCAATGAATTCTGGCTAGTGCCACCGCCACTTCCTGCTCCAAGTGAAACAGGTTGCTGTTGTGGTTGTTGCTGCTGTTGTTGCAAATTAATGGAATTGGTAATATTTATGCCATTAGCACCACCGCTGCTAATTGGTCCCTGTTGTGCATTGCCTATCGGGCTTTGAGGCGTGGTACTAATACGCAATCCGCTGGGACCAACAGAATTACCGCCGCCGCCGCCACCACCTGGCACTCCATTCCCGCCGGCAGACGCCCCGGTCCCTCCCGCTGCAGCAGCCTGTTGTTGAGCGCGAACACTCACCACAGCGCGTAATTCTTGCTTAACGAACTCAGAAGAATTGGAGGCGTTACCAGCTAAAAAAAAAAGTTAATATTTTTTTTATAACTCATAATATACGGTAACATAATGAACTTATAACTCGTTCATTTTAAAAGTGGCATAAGTTATTTCATGCTGCTTGACTTCATTTGCGTGTATCTGTACTAGAGTTGCTCATGTGTCGTGATTTTTGCAGTGACAATGCACGATTCACGCGTGATAATGCATAAGCGTGAGAACATTTTACAAACTCATGCACGCGGTCAAATCACACAATCTCGCTTTGTCACGCATGTGGATAAATTTTAATCAAATAGCAGCAATTTGCACTCACATATTAGAATTATTATTTAGAAAAATTTTAAGTTTCCAGTTAAGTTTCCATTCCATTGTGACCATCGGCGTAGCCAGAATGAAAGGGGGGGTTGTCGCCCCTAATAAGCTGGCATTTCATGGTACTATTTTATATACTATATATATTTTTTTTTGGGATTTGAGTAGTGTTGGCAGGAAGCTGAGTTCCCCAAACGCCAGGTTATTCCTCTGATTTTGTATTTGATCTCTTTGAGCTACACGATCGCGTAGCTGTAAAAACTGGAACGCAACTATCGAAGGCGTCTCGATTTGTGCAGATTGATGTTTTCCGATCGTATGGTCGCACTAATTGACTTAGTGTGTTTTCGGTTTAATTTATGGCGCGCGATTGAATAATACTTTACAGTATTGCGATGATTTTGTTTTTCCAGGAAAGGAACGAGGTGGGCGGTATTGCACCGCGGATAAACTTTGTTTTTAAATATATTTCTCTTTTATTATTTAATTTTTAAATTTAGAATTTTTGCTTCCGCTTTTTTCAGAAAGTTTGATAGTTGAGTGATTTTGCTATAATCCCAACTGTGAAGTATATCAAAGAAATTTGTGTCTCGTCTGAATAGTGTGAAGCCCTCCCGAACATGCCTAAGGAGTGGACATTGAAATGTTTGATGAAGGTAACTGTCCTGAAGTCCACATCCGCAGATATTGGAGTTCAGAACCTTGATCCTACACAGGTATTCCCTGTCGTATGTGTATCCAGTCAATATTCTATTTAACGTTTTTGTTTCTCTAGGTTCAAGTATTTTGGTATAAAACCACGGTCTTTTCGGTTTAGAGGGGAAGATCTGTGCAAGGAGATTGGGTTTGTTCGCAGAAAACGCAAGGAAGCCGTCATACCAGTCCTTTTCAATTTCATTCCGTATCTTATTAAGTGCTTCGTCTTTAGTCGTCGTTTTTAGTTTAAAATTTAGTACATTATTTGAGTTAACAGCATTTTTGGCTACCTGGTCAGCTCTCTCATTTCCTGCAATTCCCTTATGGCTGGGTGTCCAGACTATGTTGTTGTGAATCTTTGCAATTATATGGTTCTGGATGGATTGTTTTTTTAATAGTTGGCAGGCTATCAGGCTGTCCGAGAAGATTGCAATCTTGGCATATCCTAATTCTTTGGCTAGTTCTAAGGCCTTCAATATGGCTATGGTTTCCCCAAAGCTGGAAGAAGCCCTGAACTCAAGTTTAAAGTCATGCTCCGTATTGTCCTGAGGATTGAAGATTGCAATCCCTGTTGTGCTGGTGCCCACGGAAGCGTCCGTGAAAAGAACTCGAAAGTTTGGGTTTTTGTACTCGTGTAACAGTTGGTGGTACCTCACCTGAATGGTTTCGTCCGGGAGATTTGACTTCTTGTCGCTTAAGGTCTTCGTGATTATGTTTATGTTGCTGGTCCGTATCATGGTGTCATTTATGTCAAGTTCGTCGAAAATGTGTCTGAACTGGTTGAAAATCAAACTGTAGCTAGAGTTTACACATGGCTTATTATAAAGCTGATCCCTAAGGGATTCATCCGTCACAATGTTGTTCATAATTTCTTTCGCAGTGAGCCATGTTGCTCTTTCACTGGGTGGGATTTCATTGGCTAAGGCGTATATTAGGGGGATGGGAGTAGCTGGGGTTAGCCCCAGACTTCTCCTGATGAAGCTGTTCTGGTAGGTCTGAATTTTTTTGTTAACGGTCTTTGAGCAGTTGGTCATTGCAGTGCGGCTGAATTCGATTTTACTTCTAACTATTGCTTTATAGTAATTTAGAGAAACTTTAGGATGTAGCCCTGCTGTAACAGTCGTAATGCATTTGAACAAGTTCGAATTTTTCTGAGATATTTTGAGAGTAGTGCTCGCTGACAGCTAGTGAGGCGCTTATTCGCGTCCCGAGAAAGTTTATGAACTGTGTTTGCTCCAGAGTCTGATTGTTGCAGGTCAGGTTGAGAGTTGCTTTGCTGCCTTTAGCAATGTGCATCACTTTCGTTTTTTCAAGATTGAGTGTAAGGTTTAAATTCGCACACTTTTCTGCAAATATATTGATTTTGCTCTGTAAATTTTCCAGCGATTGATCCAGGTCTTTATGAGCCGACAAAAGAATGAAATCGTCTGCAAATTGGTAAACTTTGGTGGAGGTGTCAACAATATCATGCAACTGTCTGGTGTACAGATTGAACAGTACAGGGGAAAGACTGCTGCCTTGAGGCAAACCATCGCGTATTTCTATAGATTCACTGCCCAGTTGCAATACTCTGTAGGAAAGAAAGTTAGAGATCCATTCAATACACGTGGGGGTGTTTCCACCTCCTCCAAAGCCTCTCTCAGTTTGACCAGACTCGCACAATTATACGCATTGCTAATGTCGGTTGAAAAAATTGTTACCTTAAGGCCCTCACTTTTCAGAGTTCTAATGTCGTGGAGTAGGTAATTTGTGCACACCGTGGCAGATTTTTTTTTTCTATACGCAAAAGAGTAGCTAGGGAGAATATCAGCCTCCTCCAGCATGTCCGTGAGCCTGTTTTTGATTACCAAATTAATACATTTTAAGAGGACCGACAACAGGGCTATGGGCCGGAAGTTGGTGAAGTCATTTAGGTCTTTTCCTGTTTTTGGTATGGGTACAATTCTGATTTTTCGCCAATTTTCCGGTATCTGATTTGTAAGGAATATGTTGTTAAATGCGGTACGTAAGTTATTTAATGATTGTTCAGGGAGCGCTTTTAACGTGTTGTAGGTAATGCGGTCCGCCCCTCCAGCCGACTGTTTTTTATTTTTCAAAACATCTTGAATTTCCTGAAAGGTTATTGCCAGCTCATTTTCCGGTATGATTTCTCTGTTAGGTGCTATGTCATGGTTCGAGATGGGGACTATGCTTTTTAGATGTTGCAGAAAATTAAGGTTATTGCTATCAGACCATGCAAAGTTGTTCCGGGCTTTGAAATCACCTCTCATTGCCTTCACAAATTTCCAGGCTTGTTTGGTAGTAGGGTCATTGTTCAATTCTTCGACTTTACCTTCAAAGCTTAGTTTTTTTGATTTTTTGACTTGCTCCTTCCAACGTTTTTTTTGTTCTAAGTACTCCTCAAAGTTTTGCGGTGATGGGTAGTCCTTACATTTTTTAGACGCACATTTTAGTAACCGAAAAGTTTTCGGTAAGGTTTCGCTCCACCAAGCTTTGGGAACTCTGTTTCCCAGAAGGGTGTATGTGGCTGCCTCTAGCTCCTCATTAAGTTTGGACTGAATCTCGGTTCCAGCTCTAGCTGTTGGAGCCCTAATTTAAGTTTGTTTTGTGCTAAAAAGCACTTCTTGTGAATGCTGATTGTGGTGGACTCAATTATGATGGGAAAGTGGTGGCTTCCCCCAATTCTCATTGGGTCTGTTCTCCATGTAAGCGAAACATTACAGTTGGTGAACGACAGGTCTAGAACCGATACATTAGGAGATAAGAAGTTGGCTTTGAAGGTTTGAGAACCATCATTGAGTGCCCAGAAGTTGTACTCAGAAATTATGTTGAGAAGATTTCTACCCCTACAGGACGTGATTTGGTCCCCCACACCGTTGCTCTGGCATTAAAGTCACCCAGAATTAGTACCTTTTGAAAATTTTCAAGGAAGGTGAACAGTCTAGAGATTTCATTATTAAAAGCTTCAGTGGGAACAGATTGAGGAAAATAAGTTGCGCAAATGACCAGGTTAGGTTTTAAATTTTTTGTTTGACCTACCAGAATATCTAGGTCTGACATAAAAGCTAGTTTTCTAAATTTGATATTTTCCCTTAGAATGATGGCTACCCCCCCGTAACCATCACTCCTTTTTTTTCTATTATATTAAAATCGATAATATTTCTGTGTTGCTGCTCGTTTGAATGAAAAATCTCACTCAAGCAAGCACCATCAAAATTGTACGTATTCAGATAGAATTCTATGCTATTTATGTTTGCTTTTAGTGATTGGCAGTTATATTGTAACAGTTTCATTTGTGTCAAAATTCGGATTTGAAGCTCCTCTAATAGCTTTTATATCG